GCTGCTAGAAAAGGAAATTGTGAAATAGCTTATATCCTACTTCAAGAAGGAGTCGATATAAATGCTAAAAACAAGATAGGCGAAACCGCTCTCCACATCTCCATAGAATACAATTCGCTTGGCCTAGCAAACTTGCTGATAGACTTTGGTATCGATATTAACGCAAATAACTTTCTCCTATCCCAAGCAACAGCATTACATATTGCTATTGAAGCGAGAAATTCGAAATTGGCTTCGTTGTTGGTAAAACGTCATACTAATGTCAATGTGAAGGATAGCCGTCAGCAAACACCATTGCATATAGCGGTTGAAAATAATTCCATAGCAGAATGTGCTCTATTGATTGAATACGGAGCAGAAATCAATTTCAAGGACAGTCATGGGTCAACCCCTTTGCATATTGCAGCAATGAACTGGAGACCAACTTTAGTTAAGTTGTTACTGGATAGTGGCGCCTCCATTGATGGAATGTTAGAAGAGCCTCATTCCCTGGCATACATCATAGAATGGTACACACCTAAAGATAACCATAACGAGTTGCGTAGATTTCTTTCCGTGCTCAAGTTGCTCATCGATGCTGGTTGTGACCTTAACGGTGTTCAATATGCTATGGACAAGTTAGAAGCAAATATTCCAACACTACGAAACATGATGTCCGTGTCGTCCAATCAACAGTTGAAAAAAAAATGGAGTATTGCTTTGGGCTCACCATCAAAGTATGAAGCAGGTGACGACGACGAAGTTGAAGTTGAAGATAATGATGATGATATTGATATTCACATTGATGAAGTTGAGTACTCTCCATATCAATTGATAGACGATTTGGTTGATGGATTAAAAAGTAGGTATTGGCTTCATATGTGCATGTTTCGCATTTGCATCTCAAGACTTAGCTAATTTTGTTTCCGATTTGCTGCCAAAGTCAACCTAGACAATCAGATACAAGTTGATAGTATTCATCACAAATATGGTGGTATTGGATTCCCGTCTTTTAAACGCCTTCAGTTACATGAGACTTTCATCATCGACGAAACCGAGTATCAAAGTAGCACTGCTGGAACAGCTTCATTCTCACAAAAGCTGGGTACATTGCACTTTGAAAACAGTTTTACGACAATCATTCAATCCTTGCTCGACTGCGTTTCTGCCAGAATTTTCACCTCTGCCAACTCCTTTATGTTGCAGTTGGACGGATCGTTCGACACAAAGTGTCCAAAATGGGCGTCTCACTTTGACAAAATGAATGGTATCATTCGTGAGCCTGGTCAATTGATTGTTCAACTTCCATCCAAGAACACTACTTTTTCTGTACCAGGATGGCATAAAAGCAGTCATCCTTACCTTCGGTTTGTTGATGCTGTATACGTGTGCCGAAGATCATGTACTCGGATCGATCAAGAGATATTTTCAGATGTGCTAGGAGGATCAGAACAAAAGATGGCAACAGATTTACATGCCGTATTGATAGCAAGTCTCAGTATCCTCAGTATTGCTGGCGGTGATAGCCACATTGAGAAGTTGGTCATGGCTATTCTTGGTGTCCAATTGGATCCTTTACGAAATACTCCACCTGATAAACCATCAGCACAATGGCATATTCGAAACCGACGCCAGTGCTCATGTAATTCACAATCTGCTCACCGACCACTATCACCAGTGGCTGCTGCAAAAGCTGCTGGAGTCAATATCTGGCGAGACCGACATCAACATATTGTAAACCGAGTATGGGACTTGCATCAAGATAAACTTGTAGATAACATCGATGCCAGAGATGTCGTCTTCGTCACTCATAGATGGTGTAGCCCTGAAGTTAACTATCGCGATGTGATAGAAAGGAGACAACCAAATAACCAGGCAGTTAATGTTAGTGAAATGTCAGGCAAGTTGCGGCGAATTCGCGACACTTTATTGGATCATACGCAGTACGTATGGATGGACACCATTTGCATTGACAAGTCAAATTTATCTGAGCTTGATGAAGCCATCCGCTCTATGTACAAATGGTATGCTAGCTGTGCCGCCGTTGTGCTGGATTCTGATACTACACTTGATGTATGGCGCAGCAGAGGATGGTGTCTACAAGAAGGTGCTGCGGCTGGACTCCTTCGCGGAATATCAAAAAGTGGGAAACTCGTCACCATACAAGAATTGGCTATTGAGCAAAATCAAGATCTTTGTTCTCTTGATCTTCACTTATATTATCGACCAGGAAATGCTGCTGAGGTATTGGCAAGAATGGACGCGCGAGAAACAACACGCAAAGAAGACATGGCTTATGCTTTGGCAGGAATATTTTCCGTCCACTTGACCTTAGCGTATGGTGAGGGACTCAAATCTCGTGAACGACTGCTTCGAGAGCTAGCTATCCAGAAAGGCGATCTGTCATTCTTAAGCTTCCACACCACTCCAACGATACCTCATGATTATTTACCAGCTATCGGTCAAACTAATTATTTGATTGCAAAGTGTACAAGCGTTTCAGCTCCAGTTACTGTCAGCCATGTTGGCATGTGTTTTGAGGTCCAGCTTGTCAAGGGAGATAACGCAAGGCAGTTACTACAAAAATTAAATGGTTGGGTAAAGCTGAGCTTCGCGAAAGCTCGATTTCTAGGCGCAGAAGAGCTTATCAAGGCGGGAGAACAATATGAGTATCAAAGTTCGTCATCTGTAGAGATCGCTATCGTTCATGACATCAGGTCTCTCATTTTGGTCCAAGTATGCGGTCAGGATAGACAGACAGGCGGAGGAAAACCGATCAAACTGTGCTACCGGCTCCAGTGCTGCCAAATAGAAGAAACTGAGTTTGACAGATTGTTCACCTGGAATGTTGATAACGCTAAGAAGCCAGCAGCTGCAGCAGAGGAAACCAAGCGAGAAGAGATTAGCAACATTATGTTACCAACCCAAAATGAAACCAACACGTATGCCAGTTTTGAGAGAATCTGGTTAGGTGATAAGCCTGATAGCGTTGGAGGCAATCTGTTTAGAAGCGAGAGCACAGCACACCAAGGAAGAAGTAGCCAATGGATAATTTAATACGCGTAGTTTCACTGACGGTTAGATTGAATAAAAAGCTCAACGATATATTGTGAATAGAATATTCATGGACTTATCAAGATGCTGTTAATGACGAATCAATTGATCTAATTTATTCGCCTTGTGTCTCTAAAATTGAAACTCTCATCAAAATTACTCCTGTGTGCTTAAGTTATAGACGAATCAACTGATACCTTTGTTGTCGCACAGAACTCGTAATATCAACACACCGCTGCGCACTGAGCTGCAACACGTCTTTTCTTCTTCTTTTCTTTGCAAACTGCAGGTGCCTCTTGATGTTGAAAGCAAATGATGAAGACCAGGTCATCAAACTTGATCAGTCAACCTACGCTATCTCAAGTTCTTTTTGCTTCGATAATGATACGGAAAACAAAAGTGATCTTCGTGCTCAGTGGTTTAATGAAGTTGCCAATGGAAATACTAGTAAAATCAAAAGGTTAATTCAACTTGGTGCCGACGTCGGCTGGGAGAACATTGAGAAAATTACTGCGCTTCACCTGGCTGCGAAGAGTGGGCATAAAGAAGTAGTAGAAGTGCTGATTGAACATAGCGCGGTCATCGACGCAAGGAATGAGAAACCAGAAACAGCACTACACTTGGCTGCAGAGAAAGGACATAAAGAAGTAGTAGGCTTGCTACTTCACTATCAAGCTACCGTTGGTTCAAAAGTTGGCTCTCCAGAGTCTGCATTTCATAAGGCAGCAGAGAAGGGACATCATGAAATAGTAGACTTACTGATCAACCATGGCGTGGCTGTTGACGCACAAAATGCATCCTCAAAAACTGCACTTCACTTGGCTGCAAAGAAAGGTCATAAGGAAGTAGTAGGTCTGCTGATCAACCGGCAGTGTACTATCGATGCAAAAGATCAGTATTCAAATACTCCACTTCATGGGGGTGCAATGAATGGACATTGTGATATAGTAGAGCTGCTAATCAACCATGGCGCGGCTGTTGACGGACAAAATGAAATCTTAAGAACTGCACTTCACCTGGCTGCAGAGAAAGGTCATAAAGAAGTAGTAGACTTGTTGCTCAATCATGGCGCGGCTGTTGAC